TTATCAACATTGCATGAGTTTAAAATTTCACAAATAGTCGAAATCTTTGTGATTTGTTTTATTTTCATCTGATTTGTGTTAATTACAGATTTAAAAAAATCGTAAATCATATGTACTTCAGCTTTCAGTCTTTGAATATCTATATCACCATCGCAAAATTCCATTATCCCTTGTATAAGATCATCTAGATCATGAACTGGATTATTAGATACATTAAGAATAAATTTCTCAACATCACATAACAATTCAAAATTGCTTTGAGTAAAACGAACATGCAACATATTAACAACAATATCAAGTGCTTCAGTATATTGCTGATAATAAAATTCTTCACAAGTATTGAAATCAGGAATTCCAGAATTTGACTCATAACGTTTTGGTGGTCGTCGTTGTCGAGATAGAACGGGTTTCTCTGTCAAACCTCCACTATCATTGATTACTCCATTATAAAACAAATTAAAACGATTACCATCTGAAAAAAGAAACCAAGTAAACTGGACGCATACCTTTATATTCGTAAATTATTTTTACCTCGAATACGTATGAAATAATTAATAACAATTTCAGCTGCACTCAGAACATCTTGCAAACAGCAACTTGAACTTTGAATAACACGTGACAGTTTTTCCGTATCGATAAGTATTATATAGGCTAATTTCAATCCAAAAAAATTTAAAATAATTCATTTGTTCATATAAACCATTGGCTTTTATTCCACAACCGCCTTTTTCGTCACTTATGGTATATAAAGTTTCTTGAACTAAAATACAACATGAATATATTACATATATATATATGTGTGTGTAATATGAACCATGTATTACCTAATCTATAATTTTCCAATAAAGAACTACATCATCCTGCACGCATAGTCCATCGTGTAGGACATAGTGGTGTTAGAGTTGTATATGGCGTTGTTATTTGATTGGATATTTCTTTTATTATACAAGACGTTTAAGAGATCGACGGATGAAATCAATTATATCTTTGACAAAAGATAAACAACTACAAATCGTAGTACATTGACCAGTTAAATCCTGAATAGCTAAATCAAGAAAATTGCATTGCAATGCACATATATAGCTTTTCCTTGTTTTTTTAAAATTAATGCTGATACACCACCATAAATTCCCGACATGTTGCTAGCACCATCATAACTCTGTCCTCGACAGTTAGCAATATCTAATCCACATCGAGTTAATGTATCAAGAATTGTTTCAACAATTGTTGGAGCATTTTGTCTGGATATTTCATAAAGACCGATAACATCTTCAAAAACGTTGTAGTTATTATCAACAGATCTGATGGTAATACATAATTGTTCAAGTGTTGATTCATCACATATCAATGAAAACCATTTTCTGTTAGAGATCTAAACATAAAATATGACAATAGTTTCAACTTAGTATAACCTAAAATTAATCTCATCTAACAATCTAGGAATATAAATCTATGAACGTTCTAATTAGCTCAAATTTCCCCTTTCTCTTTAATCAACAACCAAATATAAATATTAATTGTATTATACATTAGATACAGTGTAGTAAACTATATTAGTATATCATGTTTTATCATTAACATATTAAACTAATAAAGAGCTTCCGGTGAATTCACATAAAGAATTATAGGAGAAAACAATCTATTGTTGCATTTTTCAGGAAAACATCTAAGATTTTTTCGAGAAACGGTTCGATAAATGTCACAGAATAACTTTTGGTGGCTCTGTGAACGAAACTAAGTTGCACTGTGCAACTTGCACATACTTCTTTCACAATATCACTTATAATTGTAAGATAAATTTCTTTACAAAGTTCATTAATAATATCATGTGATAAATATTTCCTCTCAGCGATCCATTACTTCAAAAAGTTATTATCAATACTTCGAAGTTTGAGCAATTGAATCAAATTACTATTTTCATCTGAATGTCCTCTAAGGGCAAGACCTTGACGAAGCAAGAACATAATGCATGAAATTTGAATGATAAGTGTCTGTCGTCTTTGCTCTTGTTGTTGTCGTGTTGCTAATGATAATT